TGCGTCTCACCGGCGCCATGTTCTCTCATAGCGAACTATTGCGTTTGTTTTTATTTGCTTACAATCTATGCTAATCTCCCATCAAAAGTGGCACAGCTACCTAGAGGGTACATTTGTTAGTCCATAATCTGTCTAGAAGCCGATATTTACGGAAAAACTTTAGCCGATCGTCCCCCAAGCCACTCGCATTGAAAAAAATAAAAGACGTCTATAGACGTCTTTGGCAGCGAATGAGTTAATCTAAAGTCGATTAACCGTTTGCGTCCCTACCTCCAGGCGGTCGCGCACCTTCTGGAACTGCTCCCTCATGTAGGCCGCCTCCTTGCTCTCCACGTTGTCCAGCGCCAGCCTCACGATGGGCGCCGCGATGGAGAAGACGGGGAACAGGTCGCCCGCCATGCTGGCCACCACCTCCGCGCCCTGCTCGAAAACCTCCATCACGTTCTCCACCAACCCCTTCTTCTCCGAAACGAGCCTCTGGAGCTGGTTCTCCATCTTTATAGACGTTTATCTCTCAGGTTGAAACTGGAAAGAAGAAAAAAAAAAAAAAAATTGTCAGCATTTCCCACCCGAATATTCAAGTCAATTCAGTTAAATTTTATTTATATAGCGCCACATCACAACAACAGTTTATTTATTTATTTATTTATTTAATCGGGACAGTGCACATTAATGAACAATCTCATACAGATTGTAAATGAGCCAGATTATAGCATAGTTGCTAGTTTACATCTGTCGTCCTGAAGCAGGAAGACCAAACAACACAAAATCACAAAATACAAAATCAGTCCAAACACACGTTCAGACAATGACATTACAAAATTAAAATTAATTAAATTAAATTCAATTTTATTTTTATAGCGCCACATCACAACAACAGTTGTCTCACAGCGCAGCTCAGGACAGTTTGTTTACGAGGGAGAAAATGAGCCAAAGTGCGAGGATATGAGTTAGTTTCTGTTCAAGAGGGATTATTTAAACCTCTTTGTCCCTGTAAAATAATCTGCCCCCCTTTTATTTTGAATAGAGAGGAATTCACCTCCTCCCATATCCTCATTTCTCTGTCTTTTATCTAGAAATGTGTTTTATTTCACATCAGAAACTTGGGATACGATAATAACAACACCAAATGTACATCTTTCCAACTATTTATCCATCCATGCATCCAAATATTATTCATCCATCCATCCATCTATCCATCCATCATCCAACCATCCATCCATCCATCCAACTATTATTCATCCATACATTCAATTTCAATTTTTCAATTCAATTTTATTTATATAGCTCCACATCACAACAACAGTTGTCTCACAGCTTTCCAAACAGAGCAGGTCAGACCCTACTCTGAAGTTAACTACAGAAACCCAACAATTCCCACCATGAGCAAGCACTAGGCGACACAGGCAAGGAAAAACTTCCTTTTAACAGGCAGAAACCTCGAGCAGAACCATGGCACAAAGGAATATCTCCCTTTTAGGGTTGTCAAAAGTATCGATACTAAAACGTTGTATCTGGATGCTCATTTTCAAAAGTATCGATTGGGATAAACTTACTTGTTTATCTTAAAATAATGAGTTCCTTGTTGTAGTTTCAACTCCGGGCTTTTATTGAACAGTTGCTCTATTAACACACGTCTGAATAGAACATCGGCTAACGTACAACACTTCCCAACTTTCCGTGTCTTAACCTAATTGTCGTAAAGTGTATGTCGCAAAACACATTCTCTGACATCGATACCCTCCCTCCTTCTCTCTGATTTATTTATTTATTTACGTTGTTTATGATTGTTAACGTGACGTTAGCCTTGAATTGCTAGCTGCGGCTAATGGCTAATAATTACACGCCAACATTAATCAAGTCTGCAGGAAGCCAAGGATGGATATCCAACTCCCCCACATCCAAGTCGGCCATTTTGATTAGGTCACCAATAGGAAGATCCCAGGCAAGAAAATCCTAATTGCTTCATGAAAATATAGACATTAATTTAAAAATAATGATGTGAATCTTGCAAACACTGAATTAAACTGAATACATAATATTATGTTAAAATAGTGGATGTTAAATAGGTTTGTGCAATAAGTCCAAACAAGTTTAACCCAAAAATATTTATTTCTCACAATTATGAAGGGTGGAGGGTTAGGGTCAGGGTTAGGGTCAGGGTTAGGGTTAAGGTTAGGTTTAAGTTTAAGTTTAAGTTTAACTTTAGGGTTAGGGTCAGGGTCAGGGTTAGGTTTAGGTTTAACTTTAGGGTTAGGGTTAAAATTGTGTATTGTGTTAAATAGGTTTGTACAATAAGTCCACACGATTTTATCCAAAAAATATTTATTTCTCACAATTATGAAGGGTTAGTGTCAGGGTTAGGGTCAGGGTTAGGGTTTAGGCTTTGGATTAGGGTTAGGTTTAGGGACAGGGTCATTAATGTGGGCCACCATAACATCAGTAACAGGTCAGTTTGAAACCAAAGAAACTAACCTGTCAAAATTCAGTTAAATTTTGGGGTCTTTGTTTTAAACCGTGTGGTATCGAAAATGGTATTGAGTATCGGACATTTTCCTGAGTATCGGTATCGAGTTGAAAATCCCTACTCCCTTTTTAAACTTTTGATTTAGCAGATTTACTCACAGCTGCACACTCGAGTGTCTGGCCTCCGGCCTCCTCCTCTTCTTCTCTTACAAAACAGCAAAAAGCTGATAAGGAAAGACAGAAAACAGCCGAGTGAACTTCAGTTTTAGGACACACCCAGTGAGCAATGAGTCAACAATGCCTTCTGGATCCGGCCGGGACCAGAAAGGGCCGAGCTCTGTGTCCACCTAAAGGTCTTATTGCTGAAATGTTAATATTCCTGCAAGAGGGCTTATTCAGAACGCTGTTTATCTCAAAGAGGACTTCGAGAACTTCTCAAAAAAAGATGTTTTTATCGTGTCGATGCAACAACAAAACCCACAAAGAGCCCTGAGAATCGCCCAGAGTGGCTCTCAGACACTAAACTCACATGTTTAAATTAGAAAGTTGACATGATAAACGCTGGTCAGTTATTGTCTTATTATCACTGTTATTATCTGAGAACTTTTCCTGATCAATTCAATCAATTCAGGTAATTTGTTAGACCTGGAAGGCCCAAACAGACGAGTAATTTTCCCTTATTTTACACACTTTATTTTCCCTTCTTTGCTATCACTCAATTATGATTACTGTTAATCTGAAGTCCCTTAAGGGTATTTATTTTTAGTTTCTAAAATGATTTGAGGGTAAAAGTGAAAAGTGGAAAGGGATGTTTCTTCTTTTTTAGAGCAGGGTAGTTAGAACTACACATGAGTTTGTTGCTTTTTGTTAGTGAGCTAAGCTAACGACTCAATCACCAAATTAGTTGAATTTTTGTAAAACTCATTTGTAAAAGTTTCTTTTCATTTTATAAAATGTAAATGTTATGTTGTGGATCTTTACATCTTGAGGAAACTATTATTAAGGTTTTAAGTTTCTGTTCTATCAGTGTGTGGAGCTAATATATCTTCCAGGTATAGCTGATTAGCTTAGCGGCTAAACTAGCTTTAAGAAAACGAATTCACCTGGGTATATTATTGGCAAAACTATCTTAGAAATAACACAATTTAGCTTGTTATCTTAGCGGATAAAATAGTTTTAAGATAAAGTAGTTTAGCTGAATAGCTTAAAAAACAAAGTAGAGCTGCTAAGCTAACAGCTGCTCTGTTTGGCTAAGTCTTAGCCGATTAGCGAAACTAAGAGTGCTGTAATGAAATCCTACAGAAGTTAAGACACTATACATTTACAAGAACATTTTTACCACCCTATTAAAAACATAGGCAAGAAATTTAAAGATGGGAATTGAATGTCCAGCTTTGAAGAAAAAGTCAAAATTGCTAATGCTACTAATTTTAAACTAAATTTCTATGGCAATTTAGCTCTGGTGGTCTTTACTCTTTTCAATTTTAATGACACACATTTATCTGAAAAAGATTACTCTAATGTTTAATTTAACTCTTTAATATGGTAAATGAAAACCTTTATGAAGCAAAGACTAACAGGAAGTCCTTAAAGTGTTAAATTTAGGGACAGAAACATGCAATTGGACATTTTCTGTTTAACCAAGCTAAAAAAAACAAAAGGCTCCATAAAAAGTTAATGACAGATCTGTTTTATAACAGATTAAAGCTGGTAATCATTGTTCCTGGGGACCTACTTACTGTATTTTGGGTTAAAAAACAAGAAGCCTAGCTCAGCTGGAAATGTTTAATCTAATTAAAAAACTAATCTGAATGCCAGGAATCGCAGAAAGAGCTGAGAAGGGAATCCTGAATCCTGGACATGTTCGGACATGTCCCAAACATGTCCCAAACCTGGAAACAGGACATTTGTGAGAAAATCTAATTATCACGCAAACACCGTCTGGATGGAAAACATCAGTCTCTCCCTCATCCTCCACATTCCAGCTCTTTTTTTTCTGTTTTTTTCTGTTTCTACTGTTAGGATTTGGCTATAAATACTCACTTTAGCATTGTATGCTAGCACATGATCTATGCTAATTATTGATTGTTTTATTTTCTTTTATAACTATATTTTGTGTTAAAGTCTCTGGCTGTGTCCACAGCCTCTTTTTTCTCTCTTTTTCTCTCTCTGTTGCATTAGATCCACCTTTAGGTCAACACACACACACACACACCATTTGTTACCACATTCCTGTCACCTGCATGAATTAGGACCTGGCCTGTTCATGCCCAGAGGTAACTGGGTAATAAAAATAAATAAAAAACTACATTTCAGCTGCTAAATAAGTCGAGATCTTCTTTAAACCTTTAACTGTGAAGCTTAATAACCATAAAAGCGGTCAGACTCTTGTTAGAATTTGGCTATAATTACTCACTTTAGCATAGTATGCTATCACATGATCTATGCTAATTACTGATTGTTTTACTCCTTTTATGACTTTATTTTGTGTTAAACTCTCTGGCTGTGTCCACTTTTCCTTTCTCTGTTGCAGTAGGTCCACCTTTAGGTCAACACACACACACACACACCATTTGTTAGCACATTCCTGTCGTCTGCATGAATTAGGACCTGGCCTGTTCATGTCCAGAGGTAACTGGCCAATAGGACTTCACAAAGACGAATCACAACACAATTACAATGAATTTATCATCAACTGCTTGTAAAATGTGGCAATTAAATCTAATAAAGTGTCAGAATTTGGGTATAATTACTCACTTTAGCACTGTATGCTAACACATGATCTATGCTAATTACTGATTGTTTTATTTTCTTTTATAACTATATTTTGTGTTAAAGTCTCTGGCTGTGTCCACAGACTCTCTTTTCTCTATTTTTCTCTCTCTGTTGCATTAGATCCACCTTTAGGTCAACACACACACACACACACACCATTTGTTACCACATTCCTGTCATCTGCATGAATTAGGACCTGGCCTGTTCATGCCCAGAGGTAACTCAAAGAATAAAAATAAATAAAAAACTACATT